TGTTTATTAAAAAATAGGCAAACATTTCGAGTTTTGAGCCGAAAGAAGGAGATTCGGAGAAATGTTAGGACTTAAGATAAAAATATAAATTCCTCTTACATTTTGCCAAAATCGCTCACATTCTTTTTTTATGTCACTGCAGGCAACAAGCCCACTGGAGAAGATGCAACTTGAAACCCTCGGCAAGGTAACATAACCTTAAAATTTAAAATCGTTTCGCTGGTCATACTTGATAATAGTTTTGACGTTTCTGGAGCGGAGCAAGAAATGAGGGCGTAACCACCAATTATAAGTTACTATATGAAAGTCATGACATATTTGTTTTTCTGATATGTTATCAGGGTGGATCCCGATACGATGACTGGGCTGTGAGGAAAGAGTGCAACATAGTTGAGACACTGCTGGAATTTCCCTCTGTACAAGTGACTGCTGACCTGCTATTAACGCAGCTTCCGGCTCTGCAACCGGTAAGTAACCATGTAATGCAGTTTCAACTGGTTGTTTTTGTGAAACCTCGTTTGTAGAAGCTATCGAAACATTTTAAACGTGTTGCCACTAGAGACGACTTTTAACGGCGATTTATAACTAAAATTTCAAAAGAAAACTTTCAGTGCAGCGTGGCGCGCTCAACCATTTTAACGCAACATTTTATAGCGGTAACCGGTATTGAAATATTGTTGACCAAATTTTGTTGGATTTGCCTGGTAGTACAATTGCCGTTGACTTTAACGCAGAAATTTTGCGTCAACATTTGTCAAGACTTTTCTCTTATAGCATTACCTTTAATAATCTTGTACAAGAATTGATGGCCTTGATCAACCTCGTTCCCAGTGTCTCTCTCTTCTCCCCCCCTCCCCCACCCCCTGCGAACGAGGCTCGGACTTGATTTTTGAGAGGTGATGACCATGCTGGGTCGGCAGATGATATAATATCGTCTGGCAGTTCTTTTATGGACGTTTCTTCAAACTGAAATGTGTGCTTAAAATGTGTCCCTTTTTCGTACGCAGAGATTCTACTCCATATCCTCGTCTCCCGATGTTCACGCCAACAAAATTCACATCACAGTAGCTGTAGTTGAATATAACAAAAGAGGTAAGTACAAATTACAGAACGCTTTTCCAACAGAAACTAATTCAGAGGTTATGCCTCGTTTTACTTTTCTTCACTTTTTTGTGAGGTAAAAGCAGATTTTTCTAACCTGCGGACTAAGGCGTGCGCAACGACACAAAGAAATGCCAGGGGAGTGGGTACTGACAAAACACTTGTTACACTTTGCCTTAAACAAATGCAAATGATATCAAACGAAAACGTGTAAAGAAATCTGGTATCGCGTGCAACCAACTTCAATCCACAAATTAAAACACTGTTTGGCTGTGTCAGTGGGCAAGTTTCTACGCGAGGTTGATAAAAGTAAATAAATCCCCATAACGAATGTAGAATGCTGACGTCTTGGGTGATAGCCATTTATCGGTGAAAGGTTTAATGAAGTTATGTTATTTTCACAGGAGGTCAAGGTCCACATCACTCTGGCGTGTGCTCCACGTGGCTCAAAGGACTGAAATGTGGTGACGTGATACCTTGTTATATCAGACAGTGAGTTTTAATTTTTTTTTTCCTTGATTTGGGCCTGGACATGAGCGCACCAATACAGTTCAGGTATTAAATCCTCTCTTTCTCTAATTTAGTGCCCAGTCCTTCCATCTTCCCACTGATGGCTCGGTCCCGGTGATCATGATAGGGAATGGGACTGGCATTGCACCTTTCCGGTCCTTCTGGCAGCAGCGGATGTTCGAGTTGAACAACAGGTGTCCACCAGAGTCATCAAAAACAGGCCGACGACAGTGGGGAGACATGCTGCTGTTTTTCGGTTGCAGAAACTCTCATGTGGATGACATTTTTCGACATGAAACCCAAAAAGCAAAGCAAAGCAGAGCAATTACCGATGTGTTCACAGCTTACTCCAGACAAGAGGGAAGGCCTAAGGTATACACTGCATAAATGGCATCTGATGATTTACGCTAAAACACGCAGTCTGATTGGTTATAGCCTAAGAGCAAACTCTCTGCGCCGTGACACCCAGAGAAAGAGATTTTCCTCAAGTGCAGACTCTAAGCAAAAAAATTCTTTGTTTCAGCAGTCAATAGCTCTCTGATGGCACATTAATAGTAATAAGTGACGTCACCGATATCTTCACTATTATTTAATCTCCAGGCACTACCTTGCTACCTACTGCAGGTGAATTCAGCAGGGCAGATTAAACGATTGTTGAACTCTATTTTTGCTCAGCTAATAAAAGTTAACTTTCCATACATTATCTATTATTTTTACTATCACTGTAGGTGCTCCGGCAGATATCCTCGAGAATTCCTGTACTAANAGCTAATAAAAGTTAACTTTTCATACATTATCCATTATTTTTACTATCACTGTAGGTGCTCCGGCAGATATCCTCGAGAATTCCTGTACTAATCATTTGTTAACAGAATTCTGACTGCACAGCAACGCATTTGTTTTCAGAAATATGTTCAAGACCTCCTGAGGGAAGACTCGTCTAACATCAACGACTTGATAGTCAATGACAGTGCACATGTGTATGTGTGTGGAGGAGCTGCCATGGCTGATGACGTCAGCAAAACCTTACAGGTAATTGGTTTAGAGGTCTAGACGACAACATTACAACATTATGCGTTACAGTTTTAGTCGCAGCATTTCAATAAAATTGTCAACGCACCAAGCAAGCTTTGATACTCACAATCAGTATTTCTAATTTAGTATGGTGCACTCAATGAAAGAAAAACGATGGCAATTTGCGGGTTTGAGATTGGATGTATAGCGAAAAAGCAAAGTATAGCTGAAGGCGATAACGCACCATTAAGCGTAATGATGTAGACAGTGGATACACGTTGAAATGGTTGCGAGCAAGGTTGTAGAATTCAAAGCCTTCTCAGGGCTGGAGAGAAAACGAGCTTACATGACAGTTGAGTTTAATCTCTTTGCATTGTTATTGTAACTAGCTGGCTTTTATTAACACATCATATTCATTTTGCTGCCAATCCAACAGACCATGCTCGCTGATCGCCTTAATTCGTCTCCTGAAGACGGTTTGGATTTCATCAGGAAAATGAAGGTAAATAGTCTGTGACTAACTTCTCCATACAATGTCAATGGATAAACTGATAAAGAGAATGGAAAATCTTCAACTATGGCATATATATTGTCTTGATGTACTATCATGTTCTTAGCATTAGCTATGGAAGAAATCTGTGGCAACCCGTGAAGAAAATTTTACTTCTATCTTAGGATCGAGAGAGCTGAGACGCGTTGACCACTAACAAGCAAGAATTTGAAGCATACATGTGTCGTTATAATTCATACAGACTTCAAGCCTCGTTTCCCTAACCCGTCGTACAGACTCGAGGATAAAATGAGTTCTTACTCAGAGTGTGTGTTGTTTCTTCAAGAGAAAAGCTTTTGACTTAGTGCATTTTCTTTTTCAGTCATCAAACAGATACCATGAAGATATATTTAGTGTCCCCCAGAGAAACAAAGAACCAAAGGATACAAGGTGAGTTAATGAGATTAATTGACTGACTGACTGACTGACTGACTGACTGACGGACGGACGGACGGACGGACGGACTGACTAACTGACTGATTGTCTTACCGACTGACTGACTGACGGACTGATTAACTGATCTGACTGATTGATTGATTGATTGATTGACTGATTGACTGATTGATTTGTATTAAAATGAAACTACCTGCTGTGGAGTCCAGGCAGACGAATTTCCCGTCTTGTCAAGAGTAAAACAACGCATTTATATCCCGGTTTGATTTCCGCCAATATAAAGCGGTTTCTAAGATAAGTAAAACGACAAAGCCTCGGAAGTCTTTTGAGTGCACGTGCTCGTTTGTGTCAAAAAGGAAGAACAATAATATCTAATAATTTAGATTGAAGATTGCACTCAGGTAACTCAAGGTAATAGTTTTTACAGAATCAAGTGCTCAATATGAATTAATTACTCACATCACTATCGTTTTTCCTGGTTTCAGAAAACTAAACAAGGAAAGGGCGCTTTAAGATGAACATACCAGGCCTTCCGCATCAATAGGTCACATGACCGGCCGTGCAAATTAGAAAAAATCTTGCTAGGATAGAATGGTTGAAAAGAAATTCAAAAAAGCGTGTCAAACCACCAAACAGAATCTTCAGCTTTAACTTTGCATTCTTGAAAGCATGAGACCAAGTACCCTTTTCAAGCACATAATTTAATTGTTCCCGTTTTCATATCTAAGCCATCTTTTGAGTTTTTCTCGTTGGATGCGCGGTGTTGAAAGTTAATAGTGAGTTAGACTTCGATCTACCTGTCAATTTCGCCCATTTTGTGCTGGCACCTTTTTTATTATAACCGACATGTCACGCGACCAATTGATACCCAAGGCCTATCCAGTGACGTCGTCAATAGATGCTCCGAACATCACTGGA